GGATTTATATATATTGCCATGTGAGAGTTATCTCTATGTCGAGGGGAAGGTGACGAAACAAGTTGCAGTCGATGGTGCGATTGTAAGGTTGAGATATAGTGGCGTTGCATTCATGTTTGATGAGATCCATTATGGACGGTGTGGACTGGATGATGTGGAGATTGATCGTAACAGAAATGTGGGAATAACTTCAACGCTCAAAAACTATATATCGATATCTTCAGACAAAAATGCCATCATGAAAAATGCCGCGTGGGATACAACTGACACTATTTCGCCGGACAGGTACTTCAACTTTTGTGTACCGCTCAACGTTTTGCTAGGATTCTGTGAAGACTACAAACGTGATTAACGCGCGTCACGAATTGATTCTATTACGATCGCACAGCGATAACAACAGTCTACTAGGATCTTCAGCGCTGGATCCTAAGATTGAGCTATTCAAGATACAATGGCGAATGCTTCACGTAATCTTGAACGATATCAATAAACTTTCCATACTGAAAACTTTGGAGGATGGACGATACCTGAGTATGAGTTTCCGCTCGTAGGATCTGTATGAATTTCCTCTACTGCAAAGCACTACCAAACACTTGTGGACCGTCAAAACTGCTGCTAATTTGGAGAAACCTCGATACGTTATCTTTACGCTGCAGACTGGCCGGAAGAATGTCATGTCGGAAAATATAACTCGTTTCGATGACTGCAAATTGATCAACGTGAAGCTCTATCTGAATTCAGAGTGTTATCCGTACGACGACATGAATTTGGACTTTACAAAAAATAAATACGCCGTACTTTACGATATGTATAGACGTTTTCGTAAATCGTATTATGGATGCGACAATGCTGAGGCATGGTTAACAACTACCGACTTTCTGCGGCTAGGTCCTTTTGTGGTTATCGATTGCTCGCATCAAAATGAGTCCGTCAAGAGTGCCACTGTGGATGTGCGCATCGAATTTGAGTGTAAGGAGAATATACCGGCGAATACTACCGCATATTGTCTCATCCTGCATGATCATGTAGTTGAATATAGCCCGCTAACCAACATGGTGCGCAAACTTAACTAACATTGATTATGAATTGTTAGCATGCGCTGTGAAAAATATAATGTATGAAGCCGTGAACAAATAAATGATATTCTAAAACATAAAATTATGTATAAATTAATTCTATATGTCTCCCATTTTACTTCCCTTCCCCCTCCTCAGAACGATGAGGATAGTGCCCGGCGCAAGTCGGTATGGTAAAATACTCTTTCGACGAACGTTTCATATTCCCTTCCAACCTACCCTATGATAGTCTAAGTGGTAGAACCATCGCACAGTAAACGAAGGGTCCGGGGTCCGAGTCTGGCCTAGTTTCGACTTTGTTTTTCTTTTGACGCATGCGTGACGCCATCATACACACTGTAAGAACCTTCACTATGCGCCTACTAGCAATAGGTAACAATGGTCTAGGAGGTTCGAGAGAGAGACATCCGATAGACGTTCGAGAGAGACGTCCGAGAGACGTCCGATAGACGTTCGAGAGACGTTCGAGAGACGTTCGAGAGACGTCCGAGAGACGTTCGAGAGACGTCCGATAGACGTTCGATAGTAATCGCGGGGCCCAGGTTCGATAGTAATCGCGGGGCCCAGGTTCGACCCTACCTACACCGCCGCCATGTTTGTTCTTTTGACGTATGCGTGACGTCACGGTCGCCATCTTACTCGTAACGTGACGTCTACTAGCAATAGGCGACGGTGGTCTAGAAGGTTCGAGCGCTCGATAGCAACCGCGGGACCCAGGTTCGAGTCTGGCCTACACCGCCGCCATGTTTTTTCTTTTGACGTATGCGTGACGTCATCACACACATACTGTAAGAACCTTCACTAGACGTCTACTAGCAACAAGCAGCAATGGTCTAGGAAGTTCGAGCGTCCGATAGCAACCCGCGGGCCCAGGTTCGAGTCTACCTACAGCCCGACGCGTTTTTCTCTCGTGACGTCACGGCCGCCATCTTGATTATAGAATCTGGGGTGGAGCAGGAGGGTACCAATAAAGAGAGGGTATCAATTAAGAGGGGGGATCAATTAAGAAGTGGGTCAATTAAGACGGGGGGTCAATTAAGAGGGGGTATCAATTAAGAGGGGGGTCAATTAAGAGGTGGGGTCCATTAAGAAGGGGTCAATTAAGAGGAGGTATTAATTAGGGGGGGGTATTAATTAAAAAATATTAATTAATAATTAATTGCTTTTGCATAATTAATTAGCAATTTGAGTTAGAATCCCCCTAGTTTATCTACTAAAGGAACCGAAGACGAGACAAGACGAGTATATAATCCCGACAGTTTTTGACAAGAGGATAGTCTTTAGAGAGTCTTCGAAGAGTCTGAGGAGATCCATCGTCTAGGAATAGCCGTCAGAAAATCTGCAGAGCGCCTCCAGAAGATCGAAAGTTTCGAGTAAGTAATCTACCAGGCCGCCACCGTCGGCATCCGCGATTGCTTCCTGTTCTTTGCAATATAAAGAGATCGAACGGCGAGTTCGCCGTTGCTCCGGTGTGTTTTCCGGAACGATTCTCTTTTGTGCCGTCTTTGCGATATAAATCTCGAACGGCGAGTTTGCCGTTGCTCCAGTGTGTTTTCCGGAACGATTCTCGTTTGTACCGTCTTTGCGATATTGAGATCGAACGGCGAGTTTGCCGTTACTCCGGTGTGTTTTCCGGAACGATTCTCTTTTGTGCCGTCTGTGCGATATAAAGCGCGAACGGCGAGTTTGCCGTTGCTCCGGTATGTTTTCGGAACGATTCTCTTTTGTGCCGTCTTTGCGATATAAAACTCGAACGGTGAGTTTGCCGTTGCTCCGGTGTGTTTTCCGGAACGATTCTCGTTTGTGCTGTCTTTGCGATATAGAGATCGAACGGCGAGTTTGCCGTTGCTCCGGTGTGTTCTCCGGAACGCTCTCATAAATATATTTTTTTTGTTTCTTCCTCTCTACTTCCTATAGGACTCAAAGCAAGTAAGGATACAAGGGCAGAAAGAGTCATCGCCCACACCCACCGACTGTCCGGCGCGGCCGCCGGCCCGGTGTTATCCCATCAGAAAAGCGCATCGCGCCTTCCAAAAATCGACCGACGACCACGGCTAATACGAGGGTAGTTTAATAAGTCAGTGACTTTTTTAATAAAAGATATTTTTTCGGCAAATAAGCGTTTTATTTCTCAACGTAGTCTCCTTTTAGCTCGATACATTTAGTCCACCGTTTTTCCAATTTTTTTATTCCTTCCAAATAGGTTTTCTCAAGGCCCTCAAAATAGACGTTTGTTTCAGTGATGACCTCTTCATTCGACCCAAATCTCTTACCGCCCAGCCATTTCTTCAGGTTTGGAAACAGGAAATAATCGCAGAGGGCTAAATCTGGTGAATATGCTGCATGGGGTAGCAGTTCGTAGCCCAATTTATGGATTTTTGCCATGGTGACTACACACGTGTGCACCCGTGCATTGTCCTGATGGAACAGCACTTTTCTTCGCCAAATGCGGTCGTTTTTGCTTCAAATCAATATCGAATCTGTCCAAAAGCTCTGAATAATATTCGCCGGTGATCGTTTTATCCTTTTCAAGGTAATCGATGTGAATGATACTGCGTGCATCCCAAAAAACTGTGGCCATGACCTTGTTGGCTGACAAACCCACCTTGGCCTTCTTTGGTGCACGTTCACCCGAAGAAACCCACTGTCTTGATTGTTCCTTGGTCTCTGGTGTGATGTGATGGATCTATGTTTCGTCTACGGTAACGAAACGGCAAAAGCTCGTTCGGATTGCGGCTGAACATCGCCAAACACTCCTTTGAAATGGTCACACGGTTGCGCTTATGGTCGAGTGTGAACAATCGCGGCACCCATCGCGCGGATAGCTTTTTCATGTCCAAATATTCATGTAAAATGTGATATACCCGCTCAGTTGAGATGCCTACAGCCTCAGCCACTTCACGCACTTTCATTCTCCGATCGTCCAATATCATTCCATGGATTTTATCGACGATTTCTGGCGTGACGACCTCTTTTGGGCGACCTGAACGTTCGGCGTCACTTGTGCTGGTACGACCACAACGGAACTCAGTAAACCACTTCTTAACCATTGAAATTGATGGTGCAGAGTCCCCATTGTATTTATCAAGCTTTGCCTTGGTTTCGGTGATGGTTTTTTTACGCAAAAAATAATGCTTAATCAGCACACGAAATTCACTTTTTTCCATTTTCGTTAAAATTCACGAGGTTGTCTGCTTTCAATGGCTGTTAAACTAACTAAATGGCGCAGCTTGCCCAAACTTGTACAGTAGTCTATTAATAAATGACAGTTGACGGGAGCAGTGCTATATTTAAAGTTACTGCGCGGAAAATTCAAAAAGTCACTGACTTATCAAACTGTCCTCGTAGTATCGGGGATCAAGCCCGATAGGCATTGCGAACCTCTCCCGTCGTCAATAACGCGAAGAAACAAAGCGAATAATTACGGCGTGTCGAAAAACAAGCGCGAGCCTTATGCCCGACGCACGGCCTAACCATTGTGCGCGCACCACAAAGCGATAACACGGCTCGACGCGACGCGTTTTTGCGCACTTTCTTCGATACACCGACAGTCAGACGAGACGAAGACTCGGCCTTTAAAGCCGATTAAAGGCTGCGACAACGCCTGCGCGAAATCTCTATTTCTGATGATTCTACCGAGCAATAGTAGCATGCGACACTATCCAGAAAATATTACAACTACTTCATTTATTACGGAATTGCCTCAAGAAGTGAAGCTGACTGGTTTATGGGAAGTTGCGCTTATCGAAATTCAATTCCCCTTTAGTTTTTTACACGTGCGCCCCGAGGAAGATGCAGAACTCATATTCATTTCGTTACCACGTGAAAATATTGATACCAAAAGCGTCAAAAAAGATGAAGTCCAGCTACCCAAATTCGGGGTTACCCGCATAACCCCGGGTGTTTACGCCACGATGAACGAACTGTTACAGGCTTTAAACAACGCTAGCTCATTGCTCAAAACACACATTGCTTGGCGCCAGGATTCTCATCATGGTGGTAAAGTAACGCTGTACTGCACATGCGATATTAAAGAATGCAATAGACTTCATTTCGTGAAGTTTTCCGACAAAGTGGCTCGTATGCTTCGATATGTACAGGGTGCATACGGTATTTGAGGACAAATTGACATTAAAACTAATTTGTTCATATTTTTTGCAAAATTTATTATAATTCCATGAAATTTTTACACGACGTTAATTAACTCCTAGACTATACAATTATTCAATAAAATCCCCATTAGCGGCAATAACGGACTCAATCCGGGGTTGGAAACGATTGCATGTCCGAATAAAATGCTCTTTGTTCATTTTGATCATTGTTGTTGTTATAGCATCCTTCAGTGATGAAATATTATTATGAGGATGTTTATTGGTCTCTCGCTCAACTACGCCCCATACGTAATAATCCAGGGGATTAAGGTCTGGGGAGCCAGGTGGCCGTAAGTTTGGGGTAATGTAGTCATAGAAATTTTCGGTCATCCAATCTTGTGCCGTCATGGCTTTGTGTGAAGGAGCAGAGTCTTGCTGGAATATGTATGGTCTGTCCCCACGTACACTATCAATCCAGGGTTTCACAACTGTTTCTAAAACCTCGATGTAGGCGGCAGCATTCACCCGAAGCCCCTGACGAAAAAAATGGGGTGGCATAACATGTCCTTCGTTGCTCACAACTCCTAAAACCATGACAGTTGCTGGAAACTTCGTGTGCATAACACGGGGAAACTCTGTAGGATGTGAGCATAACCACCTGTCATTTCTCTGATTGATTTTTTGGTCTTGGTCGAAATTTTTTTCGTCAGATAAAAACCACAACATATTAGGAACTTCAGGGTGTTTAAGCTTGTTCAAGAGACGTTTTCCTCGGATAAGTCTCTGTTCCCGAGTTTGTGCCGACATAAACTGTCCTCTGCGCATAACGTTGGACGTATAGCGGAGGTCTTCGTAGACAACTCGACGGATTAGGCTCTCAGACACATTCAAGTCCCTCGCAATGGCCCTCATGGACTTTGAAGGGCTTTCGTCAACGATCTCTTGTACTTGTTGGACAAATTGTGTATTTTTAGTAGTGTCCGAACGTTCTTCATGTTTTTTGCGTTTTGCAACAGTTTCTACATCACTAGCTGATGCTTCCAATTCACGACGAACCTTATGTACGAATGATCGGGCGCAATTGAGAAAATTGGAGATTTCTAAATCGGTGTGTTTCGCGCATATAGCGATGATAACTGCATGTCTCTTCATTTCTTGCGTTATTTTATACTCCTCCATTGATGATCTGACAAGAAAAAAAACAAACAAAATTGTTCTCCAGAAATTACATTCACATATATGAGTGTCCTCAAATACCGTACGCACCCTGTATATATCGAACGAAGAATGAATTCATCTTAACTTGTCGAAAATTATGCAGGGACGTGTAATGTACTATCCCAATACTGATCGTAATGTGAATCCCCAGAAAGCTGGGGAAAAAAAGTTTTACGCTTTCACGACAAAACGTAAACTTATGTCCGACGAACCAGGCAGTGTGGTGCAGGGTACACCTAAACACCCCGCACCGCCGATAAACTCTTTATTTATTGCGATATTTGCGAATCCTATATAACGGGAGACGTGTATTCTCTTCTTCTCCGAGTAGTTCCTGTCGACTACAACGATGGTAAATATGTCTACGGACGTAACATGGTGAAACATTTCTCGCCACCGAATTATATTCCATTGCGATTAACATGTTTCCGCACGATCGAAATAGATATAAGAGATCAGGTTGGCGAAAGAATACCATTTGAATTTGGAACGACAGTTACATTACAATTTAGACGTCGAGATTAGAGATAATTATCCCGTAATTAGAACACATAGATATGACGCATTATTTAGAATATTACGAAGCACAATCCGGGGGAAATCGGGGAGGCGGAATTTCACGAGTTTTTGTAGGATCGCGGTATCAAAGCGGTCACGGTATCGATAGTTTTCTCGGTGGTCTGTTCAGACGGGTATTACCTTATTTGGCCAGTGGTGCGCGTGTCGTTGGAAAAGAAGCTCTACGCGCTGGGATTAATATATTCGATGATGTGGGGAATAACACACCATTGCAAGTAGCTGTTAAAACGCGCCTCAAGAAATCAGTCTCGAATCTCAAAAGAAGAGCGGAAGAACATATTAACAACCTGATGAAGGGGTCGGGATATAAAGTTCCTGCGAAAATCGGAAAAGCTCAGTTTCCTTTCAACACGCCAAGCGGATACAGCGGTAAATCATCTTCGCGCAAACATCGGGTCAGCGCTTCTAAATCAAGTAAGAGGAAAGTCGACTCGAAGAGACTCGAAGAAACACACTGGGAAAGAAATCGGGTAAGAAGCTAGCGAAGAAACCCATGAAGAAGAAGCGTTCAGTGAAAAAAAGCGAAAGAGAATTTATTAAACGTCGGGGAGTTATCAAGAAGCGTACTGTGTCAGACATTTTTTCCTAAACAACAAACACGTGCTTTCGAAGCACGTCCTTTCTTCATACGCATTCCTGCGAATGTTTAAAGAGTGAACTCGATCTCTTCACCCTACCGCCTACAGAAACCAGTATTGAGAGTTCACAATGGATTCACTACAAACCCATGTCTTCTCTCACGGACGACGCGCCTGTCGAATTCGTCGTACCCAGGCATGGAGAAGAATACATAGATCTTGCTCAAACCATGCTGTCGCTACGCATACGAGTAGAAACGGAAACCGGAGCAGGAGCCGCCGCCGCAAAAGTAGGCCCGGTAAACCATATACTGCATTCGATGTTCAATCAAATCGACGTATATTTCAATCAAAAGCTCGTGTCTCCTCCAAACAATGCTTATGCTTACCGCGCTTACATAGAGGCATTATTAAATTATGCTTCACCAGTAAAAACCTCCCACCTGGCTTCGTGCCTGTGGTACAGCGATACTGCAGAGAACATGGACGCTCTACCTGTAGCGACACCAAGCAATCACGGACTCGACAAGCGAGCCACTTTTGTATAAGGAGGGCGAACACTGGATCTCATAGGGCATCTTCACTGCAACGTTTTCAATCAAGATAAATTCTTAATCAACGGTGTCGAAGTGCACATGAGGCTTGTTCGTTCGAAAGATTCCTTCTGTCTTATAGAGAGAAATACTATGTCACGGATACGCATTTTAGATGCTACACTACTCATCAGAAGAGCTAGAATAAACCCAGACATATTACTCGCTCATACGAAAATGTTGACCAGGCCTACTGCTAAATACACCCTCACGAGAGTCGAGGTTAAATCATTCACGATTCATAGCGGCGTCGTAGGAGAGACACTAGACAACGTCATACTTGGACAATTACCAAAGCGCATAATTATCGACTTTGTCAATAACAAAGCGTTTAACGGTACCCGGCACTTAAATCCATTTAATTTCCAGCATTATGGAATAAACTTTTTTTTCGTTGTATGTCGATGGTACTCAAATCTCTAGCAGACCGTTACAACCCAAATTCTCTGGCAACGAGATGCTCTACGTCGAGGCGTATCACACACTTTTCTCAGGAACGGGCGTTCACTTTTTGAACGAAGCTAATTCTATATCCAGAGAAGATTATCCTGCTGGTTATACTCTTTTCGCTTTTGATCTCACTCCTGATCTGTCAGCTAACTGCACGGGCCAATGGAACCTTGTGAAACATGGTAGTTTACGAATGGAAGTACGATTCGAAAGAGCCCTCATAACAACGGTCAATTTCTTAGTTTACGCTGAATTTGAAAGTGTGCTAGAAATAGATTCTTCTCGTCAAGTCATTGTAGATTATAGCGATTAAAGAAACACATCTCCCACTTTTCTTTTCGGCGTCTTTCCCCCTGCTATGTAAAGATTTTCAACATTATTCTCCTCCAGATTAAAAATTTTGAGAAAAGAACTCAGTCGACTTCGAGCCGTAAAGAGTATAATTTCGGCAAAGCAGAATTGCGAATACAGCGAGAACATGGATGTGATCATCGAAGTGCAGTCTTTCCGCGATAGCAACGATACCTATGTGCTCAAGGAGGTGGCTATTGTTGGTATTAATGAGGCATTGGCGAACATTGGATCTTAGCTCCAGAGTATTCATTTGCGGAATTGAACGAAAAATCAAGACGAATAAATAACTGGCTTTCGCTGAATTATCATGGAATCGAGTAGTACGATGGGGAGACTAATCCAAAATATTTTTATCCACGCTTGCGTGAAATTACGAGTCATATTCGTGTCTTCATGAGAAAAGGCAAGGAAAAAAGAGTTACGTGCAAAATTTATTAGCGCGAAACGTGTATAATCTGGAGAATATCTCGCCGACGTCCAATAATCTTTCACCCAGCGAACGAATAGAAGACTGCTCATTCCATACATTTAGAAAACACAGACGTTATCATTGTGCATTACGCGATGCATACAAATTGAAACACTGGTTCATCGAATAAAGTCAAATCAACATCAAGAAACGCGACAACATCTATGTGACCCGTTTTTTTTCCTCCAAAATTGATGAGGAAAACAGAGAAAATAGTTATTCCGACAAATCAGAGAGCGAACAGTCGCCGATTGAAAAAGAGGAAAACGAGACAAATACTGTGTTGGAACATTCCGTCGAGCCATCGAAGACTATAACTATCGCGTTACCAGAGGTAAACGAAATTATATAAAATGAATTCGCTTGAAATTCAACATGCATTGCAACATCTCAATGCTAGATACACAGGCGTCTATCCAGCTGACAGACTACCGAGGATGTGGACGAGGTCGACGGCAGTAGTCGCTAATACGGACAATCATGATCGTCCAGGACAGCACTGGGTCGCATTCTACGTCGATCGGAATGGAGCGGCCACATACTTCGACAGCTACGGGCTGCCATCCTGGGACTCACGATTCATCCTGCGTCTTAGAAGAAATTCCGTCACTTACCAATGGAATACCTTTCAGCTACAGGGACTTTTATCGACGACTTGTGGTCATTATTGTTATGTTTTCCTTTACTTTATGTCTCGGGGTTATAACCTCGAGCAGTTGAACAGTTTGTTTACCAATGATTGTGAACGAAACGATCAGTTGATTGTACGAATATATAAGAAAATCTTTTGTCAATGCAAGCGTAAATCGCTAGATCATCATATCCCTGTGTACCAGGTTCTATCCTGTACTAAGAAAAATGTATAAGAATAAAATGTGAATTAATTCTATGAAAAATATTGTGCATTCCTTTCTCTTCACCTCTTCCCTCTTCCCTGTGATTTCCAGTTCGAGGTAACAAATCCCGTTGTAAACTTTTCGAGTTCGAAAGCGAGGGGATCCGCACAGGTAAAAATGTTCGGGTAGACATAGACCAGAAGTATCATTTTTCAACAATCGCTGGGTAGTTTTTGTCTCCGAAATGATCCCTACCTTCTCGAACATGCTCGCACACGCTCACGAGAGTCGAAAGCCAGGGTCTCATGCTGAGGGCCCGAGTCCCGTAGGTTCTAGAATTTGCCAAATTTTTCACGCGTGACGTCAATACTCTTCGTATGTACATAATATAGCTAGTCTCCATCAGGATATAGCAGTAGCGTAGTACATAAGACGCTTGACTCGAAAGCCAGCGGACCCAGGTTCGAATCCGGCCAGGCCTACATGATTTTTCCAGAGACTTCGCACTAACTACACACACACACCTCTCTCTCCGTTCTATGTGTACGCCGTGAAACCAGTTTCTACCACAGAGTAAGCAGCAGAGCAGTGGTAAGACGTTTGACTCCAAGAGCCTGAGGTCCGTCCCCTGATTCGAGCCTCGCAGAGTGCCTAGGAGATTTTTCCAAAAGTAATATGCAAATTAACCAACTGACCAAGAGCTAGAATCACAACAACGCCTAATATAAATAATAAAAAAAGTTTAATATTCAGATTACGCTGATTTTTATTCCGGTGATTCAAATTTCTGCCATTTTCAGCCTTGGGGGGTAGGTATGGCCACTCAAAATGTTCCCCCTCCACTCGACCCTCTGGCGCCGATGGGCGTGGTCTAGTGGCGCCGGAGGGTCGAGTGAAGGGGGAATGTTTTGATTGGCCATACCTACCCCCATACTACTGGAAACGCCAAGAAGACGATCCATTTTTTAAACGAATGGTGATGGGTGACGAAAAATGGGTCGTTTACGATAATGTAACGCGTAAAAGATCAGGGGGGCATAGCAGCGAGCCATCGCAAACAACCTCGAAGGCGGGACTGCATCCGAAGAAAATAATACTCTCCGTATGGTGGGATTTCAAGGGTGTCATCTATTACGAACTGTTACCGTCAAAACGATGGATTCAACTGTATACTGTTCGCAATTGACGAAATTGAACTAAATAATCCGCACAA